GGTGCCTGGCCAACTGTTGTTGTGGCCAAGAGCCCACGCAAAGAGGCGGCCAGAGGCAGGAGGCTGTGCGGGAGGGGGGCAGGGGACTGCGGCTTTTATTATAAGTTTGAAGGTAGCCCACGGAAAGATACCAATCCAAGGAGAACTGTGCTCGTGTGGGGGCCAGATTGAAATGTGAAATATTTTTAAAAACCAATTTCGCTGAGCCTCTCGTGAAGCCCCGTTTTGCCCGTTTTTCTCGTTTTTTTTGCCATAAAGAAAATTGTTTTTTATGAAAACAAAAGGCACCCCAAAGAGATTCCCGTGGCAACCCACAAATGAAATGAAATGAAATGAAAGAAATTTCCAAATAATTGTTTGCCTTTCTCTAACCTCCCCCTTCCCCCTTCGCCCCCTTCCAACCAGTCATCAGTCATTAGGAGAGAGTGAGTGCGGCTTAGTCCTGCTGCTGTCATAACTTCACCTCATAATTAGAAGGGGGGTGGAGGGAATTGGCACACTTTTTGGCCAAACGCAACCCTCGACCCAGCCCCGATTGCCAGACAAAAGAAAGGCGAAAGGTGAAAGTGAAATGGCAAACAGCTCGGCAAACAACAAAGGGAATTAGCAAACATGACAGTGATAATGCAGCAGTGACAAAAGACACCGAGAGAACAAGAGAGAACGAGAGAGAACGAGAGAGAGAACAAGAGAACGACCCCTGAAAATCGATTCGATTTTGCGACTTAATTGCTTTGACATTTGACTCTGGCAATTTTTGTGCAGATTTGAGGATGGCAAATCGATAGGGGGTTGATCGGATCGGATCGGATCGGATTGGATTGGCAGGGTGTTTAGGGGGATAATAGTTTGAGGGTTTTTTGGCAAATTGTCTGGGCGTTGATTGATTCCAAATTGATGGAAGACCCAGGAAAAACCTGTTGATGCTTTTGTGCAAAAAAATTCTCCATACTGGATGCTTGCTGTGGTGTGGCACCAGCTGCCAGTCGAAGGATCCTCCGGGGACTCGGGGACTCGGGGACTATAATTTTCAGCCTGGGAGTTTCTCACGGGCCTTTTCACTTGCATTATGCATGAGATTTCAGGGACACAGAGAGGGAGAGGGAGAGGGAGATGGAGAGGGAGAGGGAGAACGTGCCTCTAGCGGCAGTGTCGCGTCTTTTGTGTCCTCCTCGAAGAGCCTGCGTGACAGGAAGCAAATGTCCTGTTGTGTCACTCATATGCAAATTGCCAGAGCAGGGCAGGGCAGGGCAGGGCATCCTTTTTTCTTTTTTCTTTTTTTTGTTACCCTCTCGGCATCATCATCTGCGTCTTATTAATTAGAATAATAATTAATAAGGCAACTCCTCGACGGCGCTGCACGTGCAACGTGCCAAAGGAACAGGAAAAACGTCTCGCAGAGTGGCCTCAACCTCAACGGGCAGCAGGAGGGAGGAGGAGGAGGAGGACGGAAGGAAGGATGGAAGGATGGCATAAATTAGTTCAAGGGATACGTGGCAGGAGTACCTGTGTGCCCGAGAGCCCAGAGCCGAGAGCCCAGAGCCGAGAGCCAAACCAATTAAATTACAAGCAAAACAGCAAATGATGCGTACTTAAACACGTCGACGTGATGTGAATCGGGAAAGAGGAACAGCCACGAACAGGACTCGAAAGTGTAACCAAATATGATTTTCCACGACGGGCCCAGCGGCGAGTCAAGGGGTTAATGGAAAACTCAATTTGAATTTGCATATAATTTCTATTTAATTTTAAGAGTTTTTCTACCACTGCCACTCGTACGGGCACTGCCTGGGGTGGCACGGGGCAGCTGTCGAGTCACGAGTCACCTCTCTCTTTTTGAGTTGCAGCTTTTTGGCCAATTAATAGACAACATTTTTACTTTGACTACAATGCTTTTTTTCCACCAAAAAAAACCGAGAGTGAAAGAGGAAAAAGAGAAAACCTTTCAGTGTGCACACTTCCTGGACAGACAACCACAACAGCAACAAAAAGGACGCATCCGCATCCTGTTCCAGCTGCCGATACTCCTGCCACAGCCACAGCCACTGCCACTGCCACTGCCACTGCCGCGCTGCGTATGCAAATTTTGTCGGTTCTAACCTTTTTTTGTCCAATGTTTTTTGTTGTTGTTGTTGTTGTTTCTTTCCCTGCTTTCCCTGCTTTCCCTGCTTTCCCCTGGTGCTGGCGTTTTGTTGTCTCCGACAATATGTAACTGACACTTGAAGGGGTGTTAGAGCAGCGTTTCGATGTCGAAGCCACGATAAAAACCCAGAAATCCAGTCAATGGGAAACAATCTCTAATGTAAAAACTCCATTAGGCAGTTCCTGTGTGCCGCTGCCAAAAGTTGTCGCCCGTTTGATGATTCTGTGCAATGTAAGCCCCTGATTTATGATCTCCCCGGCACATTCAGGCCGCAAAAATATACACTACAAAGCTCTTCTCTTCTCAAAAAAAAATAAAAAAATAAAACCCAAACACACAAATTTTCTTCCAAAAAATATAGATAAAAAAAAAACCAAAACGAAACGCAACGAAAGTAAAGAAAAGGAAAGAAATCATCAGCACGTGGCTGAGCCAAATTGATATGCGCCATTAGGGTGGCTGGAGAAAGTGATTAGAGTGGGAGCCATAGAGAAATGTGGAAATATCTGCTGGGAGAGAAAGAGAGACAGCGAGAGAAATGCTGAGTGAGTGGGTGGCAAAAAGAAAAGCCTGTTCTGGACTTGAGACACGTGTGTGTGTGTGTGTGTGTTTAAAAACTGTACAAAAATTTAGAAAACAAAAAAAAAACGTTTTGCTTACAACGAATTTTGATTGCACTGCAATTTGGCTGAAAATTCAATCAAAAAATTATTTCCTCAATCAAAAATATTTTGCATTTTCTAATTTTGCACCTTTTTACCGTTTCAGATCGATCCCAAAAGGGTAAGTAAATCACAGGTTTACACCATTTCCTGTTGAATGAAGCCCCCAGAACCGGAGGTCCTTCGAGAAAGGACGACTCATGCCGGCTTTCTTGAGAGGTTTCGAGAGGCTGGACTCTGTTTCTGGGCTGTGGGCTGTGGGCGGAGGCACCTTATCCATAAGCAATGATGAATAACGGTGCTTACGCTTCGGACATTTGATTAATGATGCGTTTACCGACCTCCAGCCCGTCTCCGCCTTCGGCTCTGCCTCCCCAGCCATAGTCCTGCGTCCTGCGCCCGCGCACTCAATTTTCAACGCCATTTTTTTGTGGATTCTTGGGAGATGAATACCGGAGGAGGGCGGAGGAGGGCGAAGGAGGGCGGTGTGGCGGCAAGACACTATTTCGGAGAATTTCCAGTGCGTTTCAGCGGTGCGCGCGAGAGGTTTTTCTTTTTGTTCTTTATGCCCTACCCACACCCACACCCACAGCCACCTCCCCCCCTCCTCGACCACCCGGACATAACTTTATTTTATTAGCACTACGTGGCAATCTGCTGGATTTGTGCGGCATTAAAAGACGATTTTTACAACTTACCAGCGATGCTTTTTCATACGCTTTTTCCCTCATTTACTTGGGGCTCTGGTCCTTTACTATCCCATCCTTCATAGAGTCTGCGGCGGGAGGAGCCATCATCATTTTTTTTTTTGTGGTGCCATAAAGAGCCGGCTGTTTATTAAATTCTTGCTGAGAAGTTCATTAGACAAAAAGCAAAAATTAATCAGCGGCTTTTGCACGGTCCAGGGGAAGCCTGAGGGGTGGGGGGCTGCACGGACTGCAGAGGGGCACTGCTTCAGCTATCCACAGGATCTGTGTAATCTATTTTCTGGCCTCCAATCAAAGCATCAGTTAATATTCTGAACAGTAGGGCAGGGCATAATTTTTCCTAATATACAAATTTATTTAAAAAAAAGAGATTTTTCAAAGGGTTTTATTATGTTTAAAAACAAATAATTTTAAACGAATTCAAAAAAAAAATAACCAATATTCCAAAGATTTTTTACAGCGTTTTATTTATTTATTTTTTTCTTTAATAACGAATAATAATATTATTTGCTTAAAACAACCTATGACCTATGAGAGTGCATTTAAAAAACGATTTAAGTCCTGCCACGGCTCCTGCTTGGTCCAGGGGCAGCATGTGGGTTTTGGGGCTCTATAGATGCTGTGGCAGGCAGCCTTTTTCTGCAAAGCAAGCGGCATGGACTGCAAAGGACTGTGCCTCCAATCCAAGCATCAATAAATATTCTTAACAGTACAGGGCATAATTTTTTCAAAAATACAAATATATCTTAAAAAATAAAAAAAATAAATACAATTTTCCGGAGATTTTTCAAAGGGTTTTAATTTATTTCAATTTCTTTAAAAACGAATAATTAACGACATAATTTTTTCTAAAATTCAAATTTATCTCATAAAAAAAAAATATTCCTGAGATTTTTCAAAGGGCTTTATTTTATTTTAATTTCTTTAAAAATAAATAATTACCGACATAATTTTTTCTAAAATTAAAATTTATCTTTTCTACAAAAAAAAAAAAAATATTCCAGAACTTTTTCAAAAGGGTTTTATTTTATTTTAATTTCTTAATGAAGTATGAATAATAACATTAACGATATAATTTTTTCTAAAATTTAAATTAATTAAAAAAAAAAACAGTATTCCTGAGATTTTTCAAAGAGTTTTATTTTATTTTAACGATATAATTTTTTCTAAAATTCAAATTTATCTTTTAAAAAAAAAAACAATATTCCTGAGATTTTTCAAAGGGCTTTATTTTATTTTAATTTCTTTCAAAATGAATAATCATGTTAACGACATAATTTGTTCTAAAATTCAAATTTATAAAAAAAAAAAAAAACAGTATTCCTGAGATTTTTCAAAGAGTTTTATTTTATTTTAATTTCTTTAACAATGAATAATAATATAATTTGCTGTCTATAACCTATGACCTCAGTGAGGGTGCATTTAAGTCCCAAAACGGACGTCTTTCCATGAAATTTGTCCAGCCAAACATCTCGTTGTGCCTCGAATCTAGCTCTCGTAGCCGAGATACGTGATCAGCATCATGCTGAAGCTGTAGATGCCTTTGGTCAGCTGGAGGGCCGTGCTCATGGACAGCGGCATCACATCGGCGGCGGTGAGGGAGATCTCGTGCTGCGACTTGGCCAGCATGAGGATGACCAGCCTCTGCTCCTTGACGGGCAGCTCGTACCACAGACAGTTCGCGTAGATCTCCTTGCTGAAGTCCTCGTTCTGCCAACGGAATAAAGTTCGATTCGAAGTGGGAAAGGGTGTCGGAGCCACTCACCGAAGTCTCCACGATGGTGCCCAGGCCACAGAAGGAGTACATGACTATGAAGGAGTACACCAGATAGATGGGGGCTGCGGGCCAGGCGCCAATGAAGATGCAGGATATGGTGCAGAGGATACTCACGCAGTTGGTGGACAGCTGGACGAACAAAACGATCCTGTAGATGCGCTCCGTGTCCCGCAGAATGCTAGACGGGAAGGGGGAACGAGTTGAGGGTGAATGCCGCCAAAAATTGTGCCCCCAGACCCACCTCACGTACTGCTGATGCCAGGCGAGCAGATCCCACAGGAGTGTGCGCATCCTTTGGTAGTCCTGGCGCTGCACAGCCACCTCGTTGAACTCCCTGAGCTTCGCGCTGAAGATGTCCTTCAGCGTGGGCACGTTGCTGATGAAGAGGAACAGAAACATGTCGCCGCCAAAGTTGCCGAATCCGCCCATCGACAAGAGCATCACGTGTATCGAGATGAGCACCAGATAGCCCCCGTCCGTGCTCTCGTCGATCCACGGCACCCGGAACTGCATCACCAGCAGCTTCTTGTGGTCGAGGATCAGATGGAAGAACGGGTAGGCGATCAGCCCGCCCACCAGCACGACGTACACCCACATGAAGGACATGAGCATGTGCCACGTGGTCTTGATGCGCCTCTCCAGGCACCTGCCGTAGTCGCCGCCCCGCCGCGCGTACTCCCTGTAGATGGCCTCGTACGTGGCCTGGATTTGGCGCACCACCGACGCCATCCGGGCGGTGACCAGCAGCTTCGCGAGGCCCTGCACGGCGGACCCCACCAGGGCGAAGGCCTGCAGTATGACGGTGAGGTCGCCGTCCAGCACAACGCCCACGTACACCGTGTACCCGGTGCAGCCGAAGAAGAACAGTATGGCCCCGATCACCGCGTACGTGAGCCACCACATGCGATAGTCCTCGGCAATGACGTCGTTGCCGCACAGGCCCACGCAGAAGCGAATGGCCCGGTTGATCTTGCAGTAGCGCTCGAAGGGTCCCTCGGACATGGTCTCTCCAAAGAGTTTTCCTTTCTATCAGAGTGGTGCTGGGATTATGGGACTTCTCTTGAAGAAACCACCTTTTATAGGCCTTCATTTCTGACGGTTTTGACAACTTAATGACGACAATTAGCCAAGCAATCGATTGAAGGCCATACGTGATGTGTGTCTCTCCCCTCGCCTCCGCCCCCGCCCCCTGTGGCGCTTCTTTTCGAGCGACTTTATGCATGAACACATCTGACACACACCCCCCGCCCCCCCTGAGTTGGAAAATCTCCACGCAATTGATTTAATATAAAATTTTTTAATAAAAAAGAACCCAAAAAAAAAACAAAAAAAACGAATGAAAAACAAAGAATGTAAACGAGAAAAGCGAGTGGCAGAGACAGAGAGAAGAGAAAAATTTATATCTATTTACAGAGCGCACGGGGCCCGGCTCCGTCCTCCGCACCCGGACCCGGAGTCCTTGTGTCCGTGTCCTTAGCGCGGAAATTTCGGAGCAGGAAGCAGGAAGTGCCCGTGGGAGAGTGCAGGGGGGCGGCAGGGGGGCGGCTGAAGCGATGTGTAAGCGCCTAAGCTTTGGGCCAACAACTAATAAAGGCCATCAACAACAGTTCAAACAGCAACGGCAGCGGCGGGGAACAATGGGCCCAAACATCAGAAAAATAAAGAAAAACGAACGCGCACTCAAGTGAATATTTTTTCGCATTTTCCTCCTTGCATTTTCGGTTGAGTTTTTCGCTTTGAAGTTTTGACATTTCATAAGGCAGCCAGAAATTTCCTCCACATTCGAGGTCTTTATTTTATTTTATTTCGGATTTTTTATACGCATTTTTTTTTTTTTTCGATCGAAAATCCAGGCAAACAAAAAGTAGAAAGCCCACCCCTGAAGGAAGGTGTGGCCTGTGGAAGGACGAAACAAAAAAAAAAAAAAAAAAAAAAACGACCCTCACAGGCCTACCCCTGAGACGGAGACGGAGACAGAGCCAGGGCCAAGGCCCACCCCGCCTGCGAGGCGGCTTCCCAGGGAAAAACGGCGGCTTAAAGTAGCCAAGGCAACGATTTAAAGACGCTGCCGGGGAGTACCCCCGGACGGGAGCACGGGAGCACGGACACGGGCATTAGCTGGCCCACAAAATTACTTGCTCGTTAGTTTTCCAGGTGGCCCGCCTCTCGCTCCTCGCTCTCTCCCTCTCTCCCTGGTTCAACCCCCATGGCCCAGCCCTGCTCTCTCCCTCTGGCCGAGCAGAGAGACAGAGACAGAGACAGAGAAGGTGGGCTGTCCGCAGGCCTCCGCAGGCTTCCAGTGGAACTTCCAGTGGAAGGAAAGTGCGTAAACGTTATGCAGCCGCCGAGCGGCAGGCGGCGCCACCGTGCCCCGTCCGGGGCTCCTTTTCTTGTTTGTCTCTAATTATATTTTAATTTGCACAATCTTCTGTTCCTGTTATTATTTCTGTTCACGGCAATTGCCTCAAAGTGTTTGCACTTCTCATCCGCTGCGCTCCACGACGCTCTGCCCCGCTCCACTCCACTCCACTCCGGAAAAGTGCCAGGCGAACATTTTAATTGCAATTATTCCAAGGAGGGGCTGGGGGGCGGCTACGTCCTTGCCGCAGGGCGTTGTGTTTGGCACGTAGCCGGGCCGCAGCTCCCTTTTGAATGGACACTAATTATTCCCGGCCGTGCCACGAGAAATTCATGTCAAATCTTGGCCCACGACTTTCGGGTAGGTAATTACATCTGGGGCTTGGAATGGAAGGAAATTGAGCGAGTGCACAAATTTGGAATTTTAAACAGTCCACAGGACACGGGACACACAGGACACACAGGACACACGGACACGGGACACACGGACCCGGACAAGGCTTCGGGTCAGCTTAAAGACTCTCTGGTGGCCGTACCCCGTTCTGAAGGAAGCCGGCGGATGCCGGCCAACGAAAACAAGTCACGTACAGCCCAGCTCATTTCCTGTGCCACAAAAGGTGTCAAACGGATGTAGGCAACGTGCCGCGTATGCTCAATGTCCTGCCCGGAGCCGGAATGGCCACGGCAATGGGAATGGGCTCCTTCCTGCCCCGAATTTTGGATGCGTAATCAAAAAAAAGGCAAGCCGCGCCCCAATTTCAAGCGAACTTTAAACGTTTCTTAATTGTTAAACCGCCTCGGGGTGGCCGCCCACCGCCCAGACGAAACACACAAAAAAAAATACTGCCAAAAGACAAGAAAAACAAGGACCAGAAGGACCAGAAGGAAAACACAGAGAGAGAGAGAGCTCTGGGAAATGCGCTGGAAGCAAACGCACGCCATGTTAATTAATTTGCCAGGACAGGACATCCGCCAGGAGCAGGCATGGGGCATGGGGCACAGGGGCACAGGGGCAGTGGGGAGTGGGGAGCATGTTTATTTTATGCCGTCGCGCTTAAGTGGTAAGCCCCATTAACAACTGCCTGTCGTTTGCCCGGAAAATAATGGCGTTAGATCATCATCGTCGCCGTTGCCGTCGCCGTCGCCGTCGCCTTGGCCCAGACTTTTTTTTGTTCCTGGTCCCCCGTCCCTGTTCTGGTCGTCATTTGAGCGGAGAAAGCTTTCAGCGTAAATTGTTGGAAATTAAGAAATGCTCTCTCCCCCCCCCCCCCTCGTTTCGTCCACCCACCAGGATGTTTTCTTGCGTTTCGTTTCCTTCCTTCTCATATTTCATGGCTGTAGCCGGGGTTCTGTTCTCTGTTGTTTTATGGCCGCCATTTGCTGGTGGTCCTGGCCGTGGTCCTGGCCGTGGTCCTGGCCCGGGAACTGCCATTGTTAATGTCCTGGCAACCGCAAATGGCGCCACCCATGTCCTGGGTGTCCTGTTTTTCCTGCCTCTGTTTTCCTTTAATTTAGTGAACGTCTTGGCCGGAGTCCAACAATAATTAGATGTAACGGATATTGTAATTGGTGTTAAATTGCGTCAGAGGCCGTGTTAATGTTTGTCATGCCTCTGGCCCCCACAATTGGAGGCGGAGGAGGGCGGGGCGGGGCTTCAGGACATCTGCGATTACTGTGTGGGCGATGCCGGTTTGTTTTCCCATCACGGATTTGCCTGTCCTTTGGCAGAGAGAACTTCACACGGCAAGGACTCAAGACGAACTGCGAGTCCTACCTGGGGATCCTGCGAGAGAAAGAAAGACCCTGTGCCTTGCGCCCAATTAGCATGACAATGGAACGATCTGAGCGAGGGCTGCCAAGGCGAAAGGGTTAAAGCAAAAGCACAAGATCCAGTTTCCTGGCAGGATATGATGATTGAAACGCTTATGCCACAGATTTGATTTGAATATGAAAAGCAGGTCTCAAAAGAGCAGCAGCGGGCATCGCGTGTGAAACTATTTTTGGTAGAAATTCAATTTACGGCCACAAAGGAGCTGAAAGTTGGGTCCTGGCCACGGCCGCCGCTTTACTCTCTCCGAGGCAAATTCCTGGGCATAAATCACATGAGATAATTTGCATAAGTTGGCAGCACCGCACAGACAGAGCCAGAGTTTATGGCCTTTTCGCTTGGTCCGCTCCAGAGCCACGCCCCTGGCCCTGGCCCTGCCCCGCCCCTCGGGTGGGTCTCTAATCAAATTAGCAACAGTTAACCCGGAAGTGCGAAAATCCGCAAGCACTTTTCCAACCTCCTTGTTGATGTTTTGCTCCCCCGTGCAGCATTGTTTGCCGTGTTTTGTTTATTTGTTGGCTTTGTTGCAACATCCCGGGGATCTCTGCCGCTGCATTGTGCGCTGCGGTGCATTTATTTCGATTTGATTGTTGCGATCACACAGCGGGAACACAGTCCCCCCCCCCCCCCCCCCCTGCCAGTGTGCACCCTCCCCTGCCCAGTCTTTGGTGGGATTTTTGCATTTCGGATAATTTTGCATTTTGCATTTTGCATTTTTGAAATTTGCATTTGAATGATGCTCGCGTGTGCGTTGCATGAATCATTCATGCTGCCTCTGCCTCCACCTCTGCCTTGATGATGATTCAAGTATCGATTTGCATTGATTTGCATTTCAATTGCAGTTTTTCGACACTTTACAATGGATTATGCTGCTGCGGCCGCTGCTGCAATGTGATTTATTTATGGGCCGGGGACGGGGAGGGGGACGGGGAAGGGGCCGGGGCCGGGGACGGGCCCAGGCCAGGCATTACATATCAAGTGATTTGGTCTCTCTTCCATTTGTTGTCAATTGTTGCTGTTTTGATAATGAAGCTTTGTTTTTCATAGTCCTTGAGCCAGAAGCCTGCCTTAAAGCTGTCCCCAAACCCCCTCCCTCCCCTCTGCCATCCGTTTCGAGTGCAATAAATCATCGCGGAAATTACAAAACAATATGCAGCACACACAGAAAATCTGCTGCAACATTTTGTGCGCTTTGGCTGCGGGTTGGTCCTGTCGTATATTCATTTTTTTATTTTTTTATGCCAGTCTCTTTCGAGCATATTGCTGGGAAAATTCCCAAAACGCATCCGCGGGTCGACCCAGCCAGCATACAATTCCACTAACAAGTGGCTGCAACAAAAACCAAGGAAAATAAAAAGGGAAATTCAGCTGCCAGAGCCACGACCTTTGGCATACCCTTTGGAGGGTTTTGGTGGGGTTTTTAGAGCGCTTTAAAGGGGGTCTCTGGGGTCCCTCAAAGAGGGGGACTAGCAGGCTGTAAGACACCAAAATCTAAGGACCTTGCACCTCCAGGTGTGCAGGGCCCTTTCCTAGGGTACACCGCCACACATACGCGTCTGCACAATAAATAGAGAATTTCTCAAACGGTTAGAAGGGCATGGACCGACCCACAGCAAATCCGTTGAATATTGGGTATGCAAATACATTTTTTTCCTTACCTACAGAGCCACCCTGTCCGTGCCCCGTGCCCCGTGCCCCTACCCTCACCCGCGGTACCCTCATATGATGCTGTGCCAGCATTTTGTTGCAGATCAGCGCTCGGCGACGGCGACGCGTCACGTCAGGATGAGTTCCGATGCGCCTCGAGCCGAGGAAA